GGACGTTCTCTACCTTCCGACCTGCTGTGTTGCGATTCCCTGTTGGCTTTTCGGGAACTGGAGGATGCAGATTGGCAAGCGTGGAAGAGGCCGAGGAGGTCGTACGCCCTGCAGAAGATGTTCGTCCGGACTTTCGGAGTGAAACCCAGAAACGTTCACGGTGCTGAATCGGACGTGATCACTTTACTCAAACTTGTGCTCAACCGATGAAACGCAGTGTGCCGGTGGATGGATGAGCACGCAACGAGGTGGACGGACGTTCAGCCATATTACATCCCGAAAAAGATCTAGAATGTGGTAATTGTTTTTTCTCTTTCTCTCTTTGTTTTTGTGTGCATACAATTTCAGATTAATGGAAACGTGGCATTTCTTCGAATAGTCTTTTTTTTTAGGCGAGACTTGTTTTTTTTTAAATCATTTTTTTCGAATGGCAAATTTAATTATTTTTATTCAAAAATTATAAATAGTTGCAGTCGGTGAGATTGCAAAGCAAGGTAAAAGAACAAGTCTCGCGTTGTCGACATGTAAAAAATGATTGCAAAACAACGCAATTCAAATTCATTTTTGTACGAATTTTATTTTGATTCATAATTAACATAACATAAAATTGTTATTTTCTTAAATGTATAATGCATTTAAAACTAATTAATTGTTGTTAATTTCCATTTTTTTGTATATTGAACTTGTTCTTCATAAGTAATCAGTTTTAGGTCATCTGTAAAATAAAATAAAAAATGTTCACAATTAAATGAAATATATATATATATCTCAGTTATTATTATTGAAAACTTTTCAATAGCATCAACTAATAACGAGTCAAGTCCTTACACTCAAATTAATTTTTGTTATTCCCATTTCAATAATATCTTTCATAGATATTGTTTTTGGTAACATTATTCTAAGGTTCTTCAGTTTTAGGTTATCTGTAAAATAAAAAAAAAATGTTCACAATTAAATTAAATATAATAATAATAGTTAGATTTGTAGAGCGCATCATGCGAAAAAGCCTCTATGCGCTTGGTGATTGAGCTTTTTGAGTTGAACATTTTGAAAAAAAAAATTTAAAAAAATGTAAAAACTATATATATATATATATCAGTTATTATTATTGAGAACTTTCCAATAGCATCAATAATAACGAGTCAAGCCCTTACCCTCAATTTGAACATTTAATCCTTCGCTTTGGTTTTCTGTATGCGTATAAAAAATAAAAAAATATATTTCAAATTATAAACAAAGTTTGATAATTTAACGCTTAATTTATTCAAAACCCACAAATGAGAATAAAAAAAATCATGTTTGTAACAAAAAAGAAATTTAAAAAAGCAAATAATTACAATAGTTGATGTATAAGCATTAACAAAACATTATTATGGGTGTGTGAAGATTAATAAGGAAATAAATAAGCTAGGTGAAAATGAAATAATCAGTAAATACCTTACCTTCAATCGAGTTTTGTTCTGTAGAGTAAAAAAAAATCAAAATTATTTATATTTTTATAGGTAATAATTACAAATATTTGGTGTATAAGCATAGTATTGGCGTGTGAAGATTAATAAGAAAAGGGAAAAACTAAAGTTGAAAAAATCAGCAAAGACCTTAGTATTACTAGAATTTTCTGTTTGGTCTGTTGAGTAAAAAAAATAAAATAATATCAATACACCTATCATAAATTTTTATATGTAACAATTACAAATTTTTATGTATAAAGTTAAGAAAAAATATTATGGGTGTGTAAAGATTAATAGGAAAAAAGTGTAAAGATGAAATAAGTAAATACTGTATTACCTTGAATAGCCCGATTTGCGTCTTCGAATGCCATTTCAAACTGTATGTTTCCTATCAAATCATCTTGGAATATAATACCCATTATATCATCTAATAATTTGTCTGTAATAGGATCCATTTTAATTTCTTCTGGTTATATAATACTGCCCCACAATGACAAAAGAAAGTAACTGATGTTTGCATAGGCCTGTGTTTAAACATAGACAGACGACAAGGTTGTGGTGCTTGTAATTCTAGATTACAGACAGTGAACTTAGCTATCTTCAAATTATACGTATGTTTGCATAGGCTCGTGTTTATACATAGACATACGGCAAGTTTGTGGTGCTAGTAATTCTAGATTACAGACAGTTAACTTAGATATTTTCCAATTATGCATTCAAGGTTTGCCATTCTCACTTAGCATCAGACTTTGTTCTCTTGTTTTGGAATAGTAACCGAAACATTGTATCATTTCAGGTCATAAATACAATGCAACAGGTTCTGGAGAAGAAACTGATGTAAGTTTATATTGAATTATGTTCTAGGATTATAGTTAATAAATAAGATTAAATTAGTACTCTCATTTAGTACATAATCATCATTATTAACAGTTTATAAATGCTGTTGACCAGTATGATATAATCAGGGACCTGATACTGTATGATAATTGCAGTATATTATGTCACTGTAATGATTATTTATAATAATCACCCCTTTTATATGAATTACCTTTAATTTATATGTTTATATTTTCTATTTTATTATATGTTGTATAGCATGTATTTGTATTCTATTTAAATTAACGTTTGATTCATTTCTACCTCTACCAGAACCGAAAATAGTAACGCACAGGATGCAAGGTTAAAATCTCACCTGATCAGTTTATTTCCACTCTCCTATTTACACAGCTGTGGGCTTGCTGCTGATTGGTTGCTTAAAGTTCTTAGGTCCGCATTTTAGCGATCTATTTAAAATCTTTCTTTTTTGTTTTCTTCTAATGGTTTCTTGACGTCTCTTTCAAGTTTGTGGACCGTATTTACATTTTTGTCTCTTTGTTTTTGTCTTAATTTTATTTTTGCATATAATTATTGAATTTGGCGGTGTTTTTTGTTTGTTTCTAAGAGCTATTTTTTCGACACATTAAATAATTGCACAACACAGACAACGTAATTAGACCACCACTGTGTAGGCGCAGCATTTATTAGTTAAATCAATATAACTTAATCGAACTTTATTTTTTTTTTGTTCTTTCAGATACGTGTAGAACCATCATCAACCTGTCCGATGCTGTAGTGTATCCAGCCTCATTAATTAGAATACGTCTTGCAGCATTCCCATATTTCCACTAGAAAAATTTCGGTGGAATTGAAATCTATAGAGGTAAAATGAATTTTTTTCTCTCTCTTTGTTTTATAGATATTATTATTGAATTTAGCAAATTTGTGTTTTTCTTTGTTTTTAACAGTTATTTTACTTGCTTTTTTTCGGTTGACTCATGAAATGATTTACAACATCACTGCGGTGGCGCATCATTTATTCGTTAAATCAATAGAAATTAATCAAATATTATATTTTTTTTTGTTCTTGCAGATACG